AGAGTCTCACTGCACCCTTGGTAGAGTGCAGTGATGTCACAGCTCACAGCAACCTCAAACTCTTGGGCTTAAGCAATTCTCTTGCCTCAGGCTCCATAGTAGCTGGGACTATAGGCACCTGCCACAACACCCAGATATTTTTTGTTGCAGTTGTCATTGTTGTCTAGCTAGCCTGGGCTGGGTTTGAACCCGCCACCCTTGGTGTATGTGGCTGGTGCTGTAACCTCAGCTCAAGCCTGAGCTAAGCCAATAATAAAATCTTCTGTAGCAACAGAGGTCTCACTATTATCTCAAATTCATGGGTTCAAGAGATTCTCCTGCCTTGGCCTCCCAACAGGTGCTTTTAACCTGAGTCAAAAGCAGCGTGAAATAGCATCCAAGGGTATCTGATACCTTGTTCATAAACTTTACCTACTAAATCCCCTACTGTCTGCTCAATAAGTCTGATACCTGGGGAAATAGTCCTCTTTGATGAGAATTATCATTTTCCAAAACTGGACCTGGTACTGCTTCATGAGGGCATTGCCACATACCTAGAGGGAGAGACAGGCACTGTCAGTGCAAAGAATGAAAATTCACACTCACCAGAGAGATGTATAGCACAACCAGCCCTCTGCCTTTCACTCTTACAAAAATTTTGGCCATACTCCATTACTCTCACTGTTTCACCTGACTAGCCTTCAATTAATTTTAAGAAAATAACAAAATAAAAATATTTCAGCCAAGATCTATTGCACTAGTTATACATCAACTATGATCTACTGAACTAGCTAATAATTTCAGCCATGATCTGTTAAACTAGTTATACTTCAACCATGATCTACTTAACTAGCTAATAATTTCAGCCATGATCTATTGAACCAGTTATACTTCAACCAAAATCTACTTAACTACCTAACAAAGAAATAAATAAGGTTTGGCGCCTGTGGCTCAAGTGGCTAAGGCGCCAGCCTCATACACCTAAGGTGGCGGGTTTGAATCCAGCCCGGACCCGCCAAACAACAATGACGGCTTCAACCAAAAACCAGCCAGGTGTTATGGCGGGTGCCTGTGGTCCCAGCTACTTGGGAGGCTGAAGCAGGAGACTCGCTAGAGCCCAGGAGTTGGAGGCTGCTGCGAGCTGTGATGCCACAGCACTCTGCCGAGGGGGACAGCTTGAGGCTCTGTCTCAAAAATAAAAATAAAAAATAAAAAGAAATAAATGAAAAAAATCTAACTTTCTTCTAAAGCATTTCTCTGTATACAGCAATACTTCCATTTAACTGGACTGTGAGGCCTTAATGAACTACCCTTCTTTTACTCTCCCAAATGGAAGCCTTAGTGGCGTTGGTGGTATAGTGGTGAGCATAGCTGCCTTCCAAATGGAAGCCTTCTTAAAGATTTGGCTTCCTTCCCAAACTCAGTGAGCTGAGTATATAGAATATCACTTGTATTTTCAAATGATGCAAGATCATTGTTCATAAATTGTTACTTTAGGAACTATTAAGGTAACTAGAAATGTTTAGCATTATAGGCCAAATGGTCGCAGATTTGTTATGGGATGTATCCCAACCCTTTCTTTTCTTTTCTTTTTGTTGCCCTCAGTAGAGTACTGTGTTGTCACAGCTCACAGCAACCTCCAACTCCTGGGCTTAGGCGATTCTCTTGCCTCAGCCTCCTGAGTAGCTGGGACTATAGGTGCTTCGAACAACGCCTGGCAATTTTTTTGTTGCAGTTTGGCTAGGGCTGGGTTTGAACCCACCACCCTTGGGAAATGGGGCTGGTGCCCTACTCACTGAGCCAGAGGCACCGCCCACATACACCAAAGCTGGTAGGTTCAAGCCTGGCCCGGACCTGCTAAACAACAACGACAACTGCAACCAAAAAATAGCCAGGCATTCGATTGGCGCCTGTGGCTCAAGTGACTAAGGTGCCAGCCACATATACCTAAGGTGGCAGGTTTGAATCCAGCCCGGGCCCGCCAAAACAACAATGATGGCCACAACCAAAAAATAGCTGGGCGTTGTGGCAGGCGCCTGTTGTCCCAGCTACTTGGGAGGCTGAGGTAGGAGACTCACTTGAGCCCAGGAGTTGGAGGTTCCTGTGAGCTGTGATGCTATTGCACTCTACCCAGGGGGGACAGCTTGAGGCTCTGTCTCAAAAAAAAAAAAAAAAAAAAAAAATAGCCAGGCATTGTGGTGGGCACCTGTAGTTCCAGCTACTTGGGAGACTGAGGCAAGAGAATCACTTAAACCCAAGAGTTTAAGGTTGCTGTGAGCTGTGATGCCACAGCACTTTACCGAGGGTGACATGATGAGACTCTGTCCCAGAAAAAAAATAAAAAATGAAGTGGTTCCTTTCCATGGAAATTCTTATCTTCACCCTATAATGCTGGTCCCTTACAGGAAGACAGAACAGTATAGAGCCTTCTAAATGGGGGAGATACCTGACAAAAGCTAACTAATCCTATTTTCTCTCCTGAGAATTAGGAATCAGACCAGTGGAATGCCATTGTCACCTCACTGGGTGACTACACTAAAGCTGAGTGACATGGCCCAGGAAAGTTACCTTTTTCACTGTGTACAGAGAAACAGGGAAAGATGGACCACAGGGTAGAATGAAACACCTTGTAGGAAGAGCAGTTGTGAAACCATGTGGCCCACAGAAAGACTATCTGGTGCCTAGTGACATTCAGATCTTGGTTCCAGGCCCTCCTGAGATTTGAGTGCACATCCTACCCTTGCTTCTGAGAGGCACTTCAATATTCCAAATACAAATTCCTCACTGGGTGCTGTGGCTCACGCCTATAATCCCAGCACTGTGGGAGGCTGAGGTGGGAGGATTGCTTGAGCTCAGGAGTTTGAGGCATGTCTGAGTGAGAGTGAGACTCCAACTCATGAAAAAATGGAAAAACCCAGCTGGGTGCCTGGAATCCCTGCAGCTTCGGAAGCTGCGGCAGCAGGATGCCCACAGTGGGAGTCTTTGAGGTTGCAGTGAGCTAAGACACCATTACACTCTGCTCAGGGCATAGGGTAGAACTCTATCTCGACCAAAAAAAAAAAAAAGGCAAATACAAATTTCTCTTTTCACTTATACTAGGGTGTACAATTTCTGTTTTATTTTATAACAAAAAAACATCTATACAAAGAAGGCAGATACAGTGGGAAGAAAAAGTGAAAGTAGGTTTGTCTTATGGCTTGGAAAAAAATTCATGAGATTGAAATCTAATACTATTCACCATCTGGTTCAATTTCTATATTGCTTCTCTATTCATGTCACCCAGGGGCCCAAGCCTGTCCCGACCACCAGCTTCCTCTTATATGATAACTGAGTTATATACCTCCAAGAAGTCATAGAGGAGGGTGGCTGTAACATCTGACAGGGGCTCCATGTTTAAGATCTGTGCCAACCAGCGCCAGCCATGATTTAAGCCATGAGGATGAATCTAGGAGGAGAGAAGCTTTATCATCATTTGACTTTATTTTATTCAAAGACATCAACTCCCAAAGTATTATCCAGCCATGAGCAAGTGGACATAAACCCAAGGTCATCCAGCACAAGCACCTGCCATAGGGCAGAGATACACAAGTCAAATTCTTTTATAAATGATCCAATACATTGGTTCCCACATATTCTTTACAAGATCCCTTCAATACATGTGCACCAGCTTCAGTTTCAGGGATTCCATAGGCCGATAACTCTTACTGACATTCCAATTATTATTCTTGGCACCTTTAGCACAGAACCTGGGACAGATCAGATGCCAAATAAAAACTTCTTAGATTCAATAAACTTCTATTTTTTCTCTTTGCATCTCCAATTCTATTAACTTTTCCATCCCTCTAATTTATATTCTTTGAGAAAAGAAGTGGACTGGCAGAACACAGCCCTAAACCCTGGTGCGGTTCCATCACTGACAGGTTTGTATTACTCTAGATTTCTGAGCTCCATCTGTCAAGTAAGGTACAGGATCCACATGGCTTGTAAGGCCCTATCAAGGCCTAAAATAACAATTTTGTGTTGACTTCTTTTCTAAGAAAATCTTCTGGCTCGGTGCCTGTGGTTCAAGTGGCTAAGGCGCCAGCCACATACACCTAAGGTGGCGGGTTCGAATCCAGCCGGGGCCCGCCAAACAACAATGATGGCTGCAACCAAAAATTAGCCAGGCTTTGTGGCGGGCGCCTGTGGTCCCAGCTACTTGGGAGGCAGAGGCAGGAAACTCGCTTGAGCCCAGGAGTTGGAGGTTGCTGCGAGCTGTGATGCCACAGCACTCTACCCAGGGGGACAGCTTGAGGCTCTGTCTCAAAAAAAAAAAGAAAATCTTCTAACCTTCAGGATTGATTTATAACAGACTCCTCTGGTAGACTCTGTTATAAAACCAGTTCTTTAAAGCCCCAGCTGAGTGAGCCATTGAACAAATGGCTCTGACATCTAAAAAACTTCCCTAACAAACTTCATCTGGGCTCGGTGTCTGTGGCTCAAGTGGCTAAGGCGCCAGCCACATACACCTAAGGTGCCGGTTCAAATCCAGCCTGGCCCACCAAACAACAATGACAGCTGCAACCAAAAAATAGCCGGGTGTTGTGGCGGGTGCCTATAGTCCCAGCTGCTTGGGAGGCAGAGGCAGGCGACTCACTTGAGCCCAGGAGTTGGAGGTTGCTGTGAGCTGTGAAGCCACGGCACTCTACCCAGGGGGATAGCTTGAGGCTCTGTCTCAAAAAAAAAATACATCATCTGTTTCCCCAAAGAATAAAGGTAAAGCTGAAGGTAAAATATAACCTTGGAATTTAACTAGTCTGACTCTCTGAAGGAAGCCCAATATTTCCTGTAGGTGGAATATACCACCATGGACTCTGGTCCAACCCCCCATTATTTATGGTCACCCTCTTCTACATACTTCTTGTCGATTTCCATATGGCCACCGGAGCTGGATGATAGCAGCATAGAGACGTATCATCCCAGACATGCGTTTCAGAAAGTTGTCCTGCTGCTCCACTTTGGAATCTTTCACTTGGTAGCCTAGCATCCTACATGGGAAGAAAAATTTCACTGTGACAAGGCAAAACTGAGGGTGACAAATTAGAGAATATTTTTTTTCTTTTTTGAGACAGAGTCCCACTATGTCACCGGAGTAGAGTCCATTGCAGCTCACAGCAACCTCAAACTCTTGGGGATAAGCATTCTCTTGCCTCAGCCTCCCAAGTAGCTGGGACTACAGGCACCCACCACATGCCTGGCTATTTTTTTTGGTTACAGTTTGTCGTTGTTGTTTGGTAGGCCTGGGCTGGATTCAAACTCGCCAGCTCTGGTGTATGTGGCTGGTGCCCCAGCTGCTGAGCTACAGGCACTGAGCCAAATTAGAGAATACTTTTTATGATTAAAAGTAATACTGCAATATTACTATATTCAACATTACTATTAATTACTTTATGCTATGTTATTTTATTTTTTATTGAGACAGGGCCAAGCTCTGTTGTCTAGGTTAGAGTACAGTGGCATCATCATAGCTCACTGCAACCTCAAAGTGCTGGGCTAAAGTGATCCTCCTGCCTGAGCCACCTGAGAAGCTAGGACTATAAGAAAGCAGCATCACACTTGGCTACTTTTTTTTTTCCTAAGAGACTGAGTCTCACTTTGTCACCCTCAGTAGAGTGCCATCGCATCACAGTTCACAGCAACCTCCAGCTCTTGGGTTTAAGCAATTCTCTTTTCTCATACTCCAGAGTAGTTGGGAGGACAGGCGCCCACCACAACGCCTGGCTATTTTTTGTTACAGTTGCCACTACTGTTTTAGCTGGCTGGGGCTGAGTTTGAACCTGCCACCCTCGGTATATGGGGCCGGCACCCTACCCACTGAGCCACAGGCATCGCCCTGACACTTGGCTAATTTTTTAAAAATTTTTTTGTAGAGAAAAGGTGTTGCTGCTGCCCTGGCTGGTTTCGAACTTCTGGCTTCAGATGTTCCTTTCACTTTGGCTGCCAATGTGCTGGGATTGCAGGCTAAACAAATGTACCTGATGTAGCATTACTGTTAACACATTACTATTTTTTGAGACAGAGCCTCAAGCTGTCCCCCTGGGTAGAGTGCCATGGTATCACGGCTCACAGCAACCTCCAGCTCCTGGGCTCAAGCGAGTCTTCTGTCTCGGCCTCCCAAGTAGCTGGGACCACAGGCACCCGCCACAATGCCCGGCTATTTTTTGGTTGCAGCCATCATTGTTGTTTGCCAGGCCCAGGCTGGGGATACGAACCCGCCACCTTAGGTGTATGTGGCTGGCGCCTTAGCTGCTTGAGCCACAGGCACTGAGCTATCACTTCTTATCTTTTTTTTTTTTTTTTTTGCGGTTTTTGGCCGGGGCTGGGTTTGAACCCACCACCTCGGGCATATGGGTCTGGCGTCCTACTCCTTTGTGCCACAGGTGTTGCCCTATTTCATTTTTTTAAATTTAATTTAATTTTTTTTGTGAGAGAGAGAGAGTCTTATTCTGTTGCACTCGGTAGAGTACTATGACATCACAGCTCACAGCAACTTCCAACTCCTGGGCTTAGGCAATTTTTTTTAGAGAAAGAGTCTCACTTTATTACCCTCGTGCTGTGGCATCTCACAGCTCACAGCAACCCCCAACTCCTGGGCTTAGGTGATTCTCTTGCCTCAGCCTCCCAAGCAGCTGAGATTACAGGCGTCCGCCACAACTCCTGACTCTTTTTGTTGCTGTTGTTGCAGTTTGGCAGAGGCCAGGTTTGAACCCACCGCCCTCAGTATATGGGGCTGGCGCCCTACCTACTGAGCCATAGGCGCCACCCCAAATTACTTCATATTATAACATATGTAGACTATTGTGTTTATAAAGTACACTTGGGCGACACCTGTGGCTTAAAGGAGCAGGGCGCCGGCTCCATATGCCAGAGGTGGCGGGTTCAAACCCAGCCCCAGCCAAAAACTGCAAAAATAAATAAATAAATAAATAAAGTACTCTTATCGGGCAGCACCTGTGGTTCAGCGAGTAGGGTGCTGGCCCCATATACTGAGGGTGGCAGGTTCAAACCCAGCCCCAGCCCTCCAAAAAATTGCCAGGCGTTGTGCCAGGCACCTGTAGTCCCAGCTACTCAGGAAGCTGAGGCAAGAGAATTGCCTAAGCCCAGGAATCGGAGGTTGCTGTGAGCTGTGTGACACCACGGCACTCTACCGAGGGCGATAAACTGAGACTCTATCTCTACAAAAAATAAAAAAATAAAGTATTCTTATCTAATATCAAATGTGCACTACTTATAATCTTGGCAAAATAAACTGACAAGAGTTAATAGATATTATTACCCCCATTTACAAATAAGGAAAATGGTGCTGAAAGAGGTTAAGTGATTTATACATTTTTACAAAGCCACTTCACAAAGCAGGGATAAACTTCCAAGATGCAATATTTTTTCCACTAAACTATACTGATTATTGGGACCTAAATTCACAAGTCCCAAAAGTTGTCCAGTTCGCATGAAAGATTTTTTTTTTTTTTTTGAGACAGTGCCTCACTATGTTGCCCTTAGTAGAGTGCTGCAACATCACAGCTCACACCAACCTCAAACTCTTGCACTTAAGCGATTCTCTTGCTTCAGCCTCCCAAGTAGCTGGGACTACAGGAGCCCACCACAACGCCCAGCTATTTTTTTTGTTACAGTTGTCATGGTTTAGCAGGCCCAGACCAGGTTTGAATGTACCTGCCTTGGTGTATGTGGCCAGTACCCTAACCACTGAGATATCAGCGCCAAGCCAAAAGACATTATATTTCTGATAGAACATTCAAAGTACAGGCTCGGCGCCTATAGCTCAACTGGCTAAGGCGCCAGCCACATACACCTAAGGTGCCGGTTCAAATCCAGCCTGGCCCACCAAACAACAATGACGGCTGCAACCAAAAAATAGCCGGGCGTTGTGGCGGGCGCCTGTGGTCCCAGCTACTTGGGAGGCGGAGGCAGGAGACTCGCTTGAGCCCAGGAGTTGGAGGTTGCTGTGAGCTGTAATGCCATGGCACTCTACCCAGGGGGACAGCTTGAGGTTCTGTCTCAAACAAAAAAAAACAAAAAACAAAGTACATAAGAGTAGCTGTGAGAAGGAGAAAAACAAATTTCAGTTCTATTTATACTTGATTAATTACTCTAGGGAGAGTGAATAGGGAGAAAAACAACTTTACCTCTGATAGTCTTCCAAAGCCATTCCCTCCTTGAAAGCTGGATAGAAAGGAACAGAGTAAGGACACTTCTTGTGTAGATGAGCAAGAATGAGGTCCCCAACTCTGGGGTGGAGCTCCCAGATCCCAGATGCTACAACTGCAATAGGGAATGCTGCTTCATGATGAGAAGCCACTTCCTCCTCGCCTTGTTTCTGGGAACACAGAGATATGTACAATTTTAAATTAATACCTGAGGAAGGCTAAAATCTTGTGTACCAGACTCTTCTTCCCATACCTCTGGCAATAAGGTATCTCACCACAAATTTCTCTGCCAGTTTATACTGGACAAAGTCCAGCCCCTGTGAGTTAAGTGCGATAGATACAGAGCGCCCACCAGATTGAACAGGTTTTCCAGAGAGCAGGCTGTGGATCTTGTCAAATATCTCCTTCAGCTTTGAACCTGGGCAAGACAGAGAAGAGAAAGATAATTAAAAGATACAACCACAGGCTTGGAGCCTGTGGCTCAAGTGGCTAAAGCGCCAGCCACATACACCTAAGGTGGCAGGTTCGAATCCAGCCCGAGCCCACCAAACAACAATGATGGCTGCAACCAAAAAAATAGCCGGGCATTGTGGCAGGCGCCTGTGGTCCCATCTACTTGGGAGGCGGAGGCAGGAGACTTGCTTGAGCCCAGGAGTTGGACGTTGCTGTGAGCTGTGATGCCACAGCACTCTACCCAGGGCAACAGCTTTAGGTTCTGTCTCAAAAAAAAAAAAGATACAAGCACAGATTGATCTCTTTTTCATCACTGTAATGACAAAGGGTCTATAGCAATCCAGCTGTACAATCCTAAACAAGTTCAGAGCCTAGAGCTAAAACACTGATACAGGCCAGGTGTGGTGGATCATGCCTGTCATCCTACCACTTTGGGAGGCCGAGGCGGATCAATTGCTTGAGCTCATGAGTTCAAAACCAGTCTTAGCAAAAAAGCGAGACACTATCTCTACTAAAAATAGAAAAACTGAGGCAAGAGGACTGCTTGAGCCCAAGAGTTGGAGGTTGCTGTGAGCTAAGACATCACAGCATTCTACTCAGGGCAACAGCTTGAGACTCTGTCTCAAAAAGTAAAAATAAAATAAAAAATAAAACACTGATACAGAAGAATATATTTATTTTATTTTATTTATTTCTTTTTTAGAAGAATATATAATAATCAAATAAACACATGTTATAGGGGATGCAAAAGCATGCAGGTCAGCTTGGTGCCTGTTGCTCAGTGGTTAGGGAGCCAGCCACATGTACTGGGACTGGTGGGTTTGAACCTGGCCCAGGCCTGCTAAACAATGACAACAATAAAAAATAGCCAGGTGTTGTGGTGGGTGCCTGTAGTCTCAGTTTCTTGGGAGGCTAAGGCAAGAGAATCTCTCAAGCCCAAGAGTTTAGGGAGTTACTGTGAGCTGTGATGCCACAGTACTCTACAGAGGGCGACATAGTAAGACTGTCTCAAAATAAACAAACAAAAAAAAAGTATGTAAGTCATAGTACTTTTCCAAAGGGATTCCTTATTTGGAAATGAACTAATTCTGAAACTGATACATAAAACAAAGAGATAAATGGTATAGAAAGAGGTGTTAAATTGGGTTATAGATCCCACAGACTGTGGTTGCTATCCCTAGAGAAGTCAGGTGAATCTCTAGGAAAAACCTTCTGAAGAATCTTCCCAGCTTATAATGACATTCCTTCTTCTCTGGGATCTACCTTCCTCTGTCCTCAAGGGTACTGAAGTGGGTTGCTAATAGTTGTATATCACAGATACTGTGTACCATATCCCCATACCAACTACACTTAGAATAGAGATAACCAAGCTGAGCCAATCAGTAGATTAAGAGTCAAATCTTTGAAGACGGTGGCTCTGAAACAGTAAAGAACAATGGGGCCGTGAAAGTGCCATGTGGACCAAAGAATAGCCATCCTAAAATAAGGATGAAGATGACCAGAGAGAAGATGAGATGTGAAAAAAGAACTAAAGTTTTGGCTTGGCACCTGTGGCTCAAGTGGCTAAGGCGCCAACCACATATACCTAGGGTGGTGGGTTCGAATTGAGCCCAGGCCCACCAAAACAACAGTGACAGCTGCAACCAAAAAACAGTCGGGCATTGTGGTGGGCGCCTGTGGTTCCAGCTACTTGGGAGGCTGAGGCAGGAGACTTGCTTAAGCCCAGGAGTTGGAGGTTGCTATGAGTTATGATGTCACAGCACTCTACCCAGGGGGACAGCTTGGGGCTCTGTCTAAAAAAAAAAAAAAGAACTGAAGTTTTGCTGGGTGTGGTGGCTCACACCTATAATCCCACCACGAGGGAAGCCGAGGTAGGTGGACTGCCTGAGCTCATAGGTTCAAGACCAGTCTGAGCAAGAGCGAGACCCTCATCTCTAAAAATAGTGGAGCGTTGTGGCAGGCGCCTGTAGTCCTTGCTACTTGAGAGGCTGAGGCAAGAGAATCACTTAAGCCCAGGAAGTTGCTGTGAGCTATGACACTATGTCACTTTACCAAGGGTGACAAAGTGAGACTCTGTCTCAAAAAAGAAAAAAAAAAAAAAGAACCAAAGATTTTAGTTCCTGACTCCCCACCACATTCCTGCCACTGGGCTCTGTAAGATACTCCTTTATCTTTAGGATGAATATCTTTGTGTGAGGGTTCACACTTTTGTCTCTTGCTTAAGTAGATCTGAATTACTTTCTGTTACCTACAATCAAAGTTTTGTTTGTTTGTTTGTTTTTGCAGTTTTTGGCTGGGGCTGGGTTTGAACCCACCACTCTGACATGTGGTGCCGACACCCTACTCCTTTGAGGCACAGGCACCATCTCCCCGCCCCCCCTTTTTTTGGAGACAGAGTCTCACTTTGTTGCCCTGGGTACAGTGCCCTGGTGTCATAGCTCACAGCAACCGCAACCTCTTGGGTTCTAGTGATTCTCTTGCCTCAGTCTCCCAAGTAGCTGGGAGCACCTGGCTAAGTTTAGAGATGAGGTCTCACTCTAGCTCGGGTTGGTCTCAAACCTGTAAGCTCAGGTAATCCACCTGCCTCAGCCTCCCAGAGTGCTAGGATTATAGGTATGAGTCACCGTAACCGGTCCAATCAAAGTTTTAATTAACATAGCATCTCCAGTTGAGAAATACTCTGCCAAGTTCCTAATCATTTCGAGAAAAGTCACAAAAGTCTTGGAAATATCCTCTCTAAACAGTAATCTGATTGGGGGAGAGGGCATGCCAATCACATTTCTCAGGAAGAAAAGCAAGAGGGGACCAATAATCAAATAATGAGACACTATCCAAAGTACAAACTTAATTAATTCCATAATCCCAAACATACTGAGATGTGAAAAATACGTGCATTTCCATACATATGTACCCAGCTCATGTTCCTACTAAGTCACACTCTACAGGATACTTCCATGGCATTTTCAAAAAACCTTACTGGCTAAATAAATACCCCATTCAGCCCCCGCTCTACACCTCTCCAGCTGGAGAGTCAGCTCCCACCCCTCTGCCTGACCTGGCCTCCTCCACGTCATACCACCACTACCACATCCCCATTTAAATTGTCCTCCAAATTAACTGCAAATAGACATCCATCTTCCTTAAAGAGGTAGGAATTAGGTCATCTTTCTCTGTTACACTCAGCATTTACTGAGTACTAACTCTAGAGCTGCTCTGTGTCTGGCTGGACTGTAAACTCTTAAAACCTTCAGAGTCGGCTCGGTGCCTATAGCTCAACCGGCTAAGGCGCCAGCCACGTACACCTAAGGTGGCGGGTTCAAATCCCCAGCCCGGACCC